CCGAAGTCGGACGCTCAACTGACTAAGCCACCCAGGTGCCCCTATAATTATTAACTTTTTAGACAGATTTTCAAAAACAAAGGTTTAATGTATCATATGGGTTTAACGGATACCTCACCACTTTTCTGTATATACAGGCTTGATCTAGGATTGTCATTTCCTTTGGAGAACTGTGGTCACCCTACATATAAATAGTTGTGCATTGCTTCTCTCCATCTCGAGCACCCCAAGGATGGCGGTAGATTACGTACAACCATTTTGCAACTTCACACGCTTCGCCAGAGCGCGAGGACTCCCTCCACCTGACTGTGTGCAGACGGATGGGAACAGGGGCAGGCCTCGCCGGGCTGCTGGAGTCTGGGCGGTCGTGGCAGCCTCAACTCTGCGTGCGCGCACACCCGGGGGGATGGAAGAGCATGTGGCAGCGTGAGGGGGCGGTCGCCCCATCGGTCTCCCCCAAGGCTGGGTAAGGTCAGCCGAGTTTACAGTGCAGGGAGGACCTTCCTATACCAGGACAGGGTTATTTAAAGGAACACGATGGGGAGCCAAGATTCTGGGAGCTGCAGAGCCGGCGAAAGCCCAGATTCCCTTCCGTGGGATCCATGTCCTTGGCAAAGCAAACTGCAATCTGCCAGTTAGCTACTAATGATTTTCACTATGAAATAGGATAAATATACCAACAGTGAACAAAACTGTGCTAACATCTATATGGCACTCTGTACAATACTGTCGGTAATATGGATATAATCCTGTAATAATAGAAGCATATAATAGTAATATTATACACCGTATAGTATAACATAATTCTAAGATGCATTAGATATGAGATACGTTAGATCAAATTATATCGCCATTATACCTAATATATATTTGATATGATTATAATTAGAAATAGACTTATGTATATAGCATTATAATTATGAATAGGACATGTTTATATAACGTACAAATAGGTATTTGTGTATTTTTTTAATTAAAAAAATTTTTTTTGATGTTTATTTATTTTTCAGACAGAGAGAGAGAGAGAGAGAGCAAGTGAATGGGAGAAGGGCAGAGAGAGGGAGACACAGAATCTAAAGCAGGCTCCAGGCTCTGAGCCATCAGCACAGAGCCCGATGCGGGGCTCAAACCCACGAACTGCGAGATCATGACCTGAGCTGACGTCTGACGCTCAACCGACTGAGCCCCCCCAGGCACCCCTACTTATTTGCATATGTTAACGTATGCTGTAATATGACACGATAGGATGTAACTCTCACTCAAGTCTTGTCAGGGGTGATGCAGGGGCTCAGATGCCCTCCCACCTGCCAGCGCACGCTCCACGTGCCTGACTCCCGCGCGTACCACAGTTACGGCTGTTCTCCAGATCGGGAGGCTGCAGGTGACATGGCACCAGGTTCAGTCAACGACTTACCTCCACAGCAAATTATAGCAGCCACAAAAAGGGAAATATCACTGTCGTCCAGCTCCAACGCGTTGAACTTCATCGCAAAGTCAAACTTAGGTTCCATGATATCACAAAACGGTTTCCTTAGGCTCTTTAGGAATTCACGAGTTATAAAACCATTTCCATATGCCACCAGCATCCCGTCTTTATTCATCACAGAAGACAGCATCGCAAATATGGCCTCATAAACTCCATATTTCAGCAAAGTGACTTGGTCGTTCAAGTCCAAGTTTGCAAAGCCAGGGATGGACTTGGCGAACTCCGTGAGCTCCGTGACCGTCTCCACGGACGTGCACTGGCAGCAGTGGAAGATGCGGACTTCTGCTTCCTTGTTCTGGATGCCGTTGGCCACCAACTTGGCCACCAGAGTCTTCTCGGCCATGCACAGTGTCTCCATGTCATGTATGACAAAGGGCTGCGAAGAAACACCGGAAAAGGTCAATTAACTGGTGACAGGCAGTCCTCTTCATCATCAATGAATTCATGAACAGCCACGGTCTCCAAATCACCCATGGGGCAGTCTTCATCCTTAACCTCAAAACTAATCGGGGACGTGAAGACACACATAGAGAACTAATGATGTAAGTCAGTAAGATAATAATCATCACTTCCTGACACTGGGTGGAGATTTCATGGCTAAGACGACAAAGGTCTGATTTGGGCAGGAAAGCTAACAACAGGATGTTCGCAAAGCACTTTTAATATTTTATTAAACAAATTTTTTTTAATGTTTATTTATTTTTGAGACAGAGAGAGAGCATGAACGGGGGAGGGTCAGAGAGAGAGGGAGACGCAGAATCCGAAGCAGGCTCCAGGCTCTGAGCCATCAGCACCGAGCCCGATGCGGGGCTCGAACTCACAGACTGCGAGATCGTGACCTGAGCCGAAGTCAGACGCCCAACCGACTGAGCCACCCAGGCGCCCCAATATTTTGTAATATTCTCTGAGCTCCTAAATTGCAATAGCTTTTGAATTTTTATCATGGAAGTACAATTGACACACCATGTCACATTGGTTTCAGGTGCACAACATGGTGGTTCGACAGGTGTACGTGTGATGCCGTGTTCACCACGACAAGCCTCGTTGCCAGACGTTACTGCAATATTACTGACTCGAGTCCCTGAGCTGTACTTTTCATCCCCCTGGCTTCTTTATTTTATAATGAAACACATGTGCCTCTCAATCACCTGCACCCATTTCGCTCATCCCATAATAGTTCTCAATTTTACCATTTTACGAACTTTGGAGACATCCATCGTTATCTAACACAGCTAAGGGAATAAACTTGACACGTGATATACAGAACTCAGAAAGTTGGCAAAGTTTGCATAGCGATAAGCAAACAAGCGTTGTTAAGTCCTTGCTCTTTGGGGATAGACTGGGAAAAGTCTCCAAGAACCCTCATTTCCCTGTGCATAAGATTGAAATCGGCGCTTTAGCGCTCCGTTCCGGAACAAGTGCCAAACCCCCACGGTATGTTGCCATACCATTTGCATCCGAGCCCACTGGTTGTGCCATTTTCAGAGGGGGAAGAAGAGACGGCTGGCCATATTACTTGAAGCCAGCATGCCCAGAAGGGATTATAATCCGGTGGGGCACAAGAGAACGGATGCACATACGTGATTTGTGCTGCTGGCCAAAACGTACACCAGATCTGTGTGCAGAGCAGAAGAAATGACAGCTTCTACGCGACCTCTGTGATTTATAATGTGTTCTACAGATCAGTAATGAGGCGGGCCGAAGCATTAGTTTCAATTTCTCCTGGGATATTTCAATGTAGAACGCATAAACCGCTCATGATTTTAAGACTCACTCTGCCAATGGGCAAAACACGTCACTGACATTGCATCTGGACCCTTGGCATGATGTGTTCCCTATTTCTGGGCCCCCAAGAGCATCTGGAGAAACCACAGTGCAAAACCACCTTCAGGGCGCCTGTGGGGTGCTATTTGTCCCAGAAGCAAGGCAGAGTATCAGAGCGATACACGGGAGTGTTTCTGAAAAAACTTTTAAGAATGTTTTATTTATTTTTGAGAGAGCACAAGCAGGGGAGTGGTGGAGAGAGAGAGGGACAGAGGATCTGAAGCGGGCTCCGTGCTGACAGCAGCGAGCCCGATATGGGGCTTGAACTCACGAATTGCAAGATCCATGACTCAAGCCAAAGTCAGACGCTCAACCGACTGAGCCACCCCCAGGTACCCCATTTCTGAAATGTTTAAACAAAATCAGAGTTTGCAATACAGCGTTGGACGAAAATATAATTTGATTCTACGCCTGAAGAGCATACTCTAAAAATTCCCTGTGAATGAGCGAAAACATTCGAAATACAGAATTCAGAGCCAAAATTTCCGAATATCTCCAGTTTGATTAAGGAAGACTAAAACTGTCGCTCTCCAAAGATCATAAAAGCCAGATTACCATTGTTTTGAGGAAGTTTGGGGGCAGTTCTGCTTCATGGGAAATTGCTCAGATTTAAGGAATTAACATTCTAGGATGGACTGGAGACATGCTTTTAAAAGAGTTCATGGGGGGCGCCTGGGTGGCTCAG